GACTCAAAAGAAAAAGAAAAGGACAACCTGGACAAAACCTCGGCATCTGGGTTATCAACTCCAAGAATACCGGACCCAGATTCAGAAGAACCAGAGTCTGATTTTGACTCCATAGACTCTGTGGAATCAGATTATGGTTCACTACCTGACTCAGAACTGCTAGACAGGTAGCCCCTCTCCAGCTGCTAATTGAGGGATGGTGCATCAAATGCATCTAAGATACTGCTAGAAGGGTTTGCACCTGGTTGGTCCCCAATCATTGAAACGGTCAGGTTATCCCCCAAGCTCTCTGAGTCGATCGGAGGATCCGAAAGGAGACATGACAGTGCTGCTCCCATTCCCATTTCAAGCTCGTTGCTGCTGGAATCACTTTCTATGCTTTGTGAATGATCATCGGTTAGTTCAGTCTGTTCCTCTGTATAATTATCTTGCAGCTGTAAGTCAAAGAAAATCTCAAAATCGGAAACCCACTACCTCTCAGAGTTGAACCAGAGCTCGGGGAAATCACAGAATAGGAAGTCTTCACCTTCCCGAACAAAATAACCATTCAGGGTTCCCCAGATTGGTCGGTGCACAAGCTCGTAGCTTCAAATCAAATTTGAAGAGAAGAAGCAACCAATAAGCTAGCCTACCCGTAAGTGCTGGTTTCTCGAAGAGATATTTGATGGTGGGTTTTCAACCTTGCGAGCTCAATTTTTCTTTTTTCTAATTTTTTGTGCTCTAACTTTTGCCTAAGCCGCCCTTCCGGGTTTTCGGCCTAGCGAGCTTCTCAGGGTTAGTATTTCTTCAACTTGTCCATGTTGATCGGTTGGGAAAATTCTAGGTCATCCAGGTCCATAAGAATAACAGTGCTACCCGGCCAAATAGTTCTGATAATGTAAGGACCAGTCTAATTGGGTCTAAACTTGCCTCTAGGGTCATGGATGGTAGCTCGGTTGTCTTTCAGCACCAAATCCCCTTCTTTAAGATTCCGAGACTTAACTTTCTTGTTGAAAGCCCTGGAAATCCTGCGTTGATATCCTTGAACATGGGACAGTGCTTTCACCTTCTCTCATCAAACAGCATCAGTTCTTCGAACCTGCTTTGCTGCCAGTCCGCTTCTGCTATCTTGCACTTAGCCATAACCCACAGCGACGGAATCTCTATTTCAATCAGCAGAACAGCTTCCATTCCATAAACAAGAGAGTACGAAAGTCACCCCAGTAGATGTCCAAATTGAAGTTCTGTAGCCCCAGAGAGAAAATGGCAATTTGTCTGGCCAGTCCCTGTAAGTCTCAACCATTTTCTGCAAAATGTGCTTGATGTTCTTGTTGGCGGCCTCAACAGCTCCGTTGGTTTGCGGCCGCTATGTAGATGACTTATGAAAAGCCACGTTGTATTTCTCCAATAAGTTGATCACTTCTTTCTTGAAATGGGAGCCATTGTCTGAAATGATCTCATTCGAGACTCCATAACGGCAAATAATGTTGTTACGAATGAACTTAGCCACATGCGCTGCTTTCAACACTGCATAAGACTGAAATTCCACCCACTTCGTGAAATAATCAATTGCCACCAGAATGTACTCATGCCCCTTTGACCCTTTCAGTGTAACTGCCCCAATGACGTCAATTCCCCAGACTGAGAAAAGCCATGGTGAAGTCATGTTGTATAGCTTCGACAGCAGGATATTCATGTGATTTGCATGGATTTGGCATTTGTGGCATCGCCGAACAAAACCAATACAATCCTTCTCCATGGTAGACCAGTAGTAACCTTGCTTGAAAA